AGGCCTCCCTCGGCCCCTTGGCGTACCCGGACACCTGCACGCTCCACGTGCCGGCAACACCCGGCACCGAGCTTTCCCTGCATGCTGGGACGGGCTCACCCTCTGCGGCCCGACACGCAGACGAACGCAGCCTCGCGCAGGGAGATGCTCGTGTCTGCAGTGTGACCGACCACTCACAACCTCTCCCGCGCACGCGCGGCCTTGGGCGTCGTGCAATACTGACGTGTACTGGCCCCACGGTTACTGCTATGCTTGTTCACTCTAACACACCGGTCTCTCTCACACACACACACACACAAACTTTCCCCTGAATATGCAAGGCAACAGCCGGAGCCTCGCACATCCCGTACCCATCACCTTGCACACCAGCGCGTGCTGCGCTCCGAGTAGCGAGTGAAGCCAACATGTCCCCCCTCGAGCTCACCGCCCTCGCAGACTGTGCCATGTCCACGCACACACAGCCATCAACGCACACTCTTGCTCTCCTGTGTGACCCATGGTGTGTCACCTCCAGTCCCCTGTTCTTGCTGTGATGAGGAGATGACAGGGGACCGGTCTGTCATGTATACTGCCTCCAGCAGTCCCGCATGGAAGGAAGAAACAGATTCTCTTGGAAAGAAAAAGTCCAGCAATCCCTGAAGACCCTGTTGCTGGCAGTGGCATCCTACGACCTGGTCTTGCTCTCAGGGCCTGCCCATGAGTGCTAGGGGCTGTGGGTGCCTGTCGCAGCAGCGCTCCGTGGGCTCTTCCTCTGCTCTACTCCGCTCTCCCTGCTGCGAGCACCCGGCCGAGGAGGCTGAGCCAGCGAGGGGGCAGTGGGCAGCGACGTGGATGAAGCAGCAGACTCTTTCAAGGCTCCTGTCCAAGCGGAGCTCCAAAGGAAGGTCACTGAGGGTCCTGTCTATCTTGCTTGGGTGCCCAGGTCTCCAGGGAGGAGGACTGCACTCCCCTTGGGAGCCTCAAGCCAGTTCTGCTCATGTCCAACCGAAAGAGATCAGGAAGTAAGAAAAATGAAAGCACCTGGTTCTTTCCTTGGGTGGGGAGGGAAAGGACGGCTGCCTTTCCCTGCCTACCACTTCAGGAAGTCTCGCACGCGGCTCCACAGCTTGGTGATCCAGAGGTTGACCCCTAGGTCAGTCAGGTACTGGATTTCAGGTGTCAGCATCTTGCGGCACAGCTTCCGGTGCTTCTTGTTGATCTTCTTCTTCAAGTTGTAGCCCAGGATGGACTTCTCCCCCAGCGGCTGCCAGGGCTGCATGGAGGACTCCTGGATGGCGCTGGCATCCACGGGGTGACCTCCATCAATGCAGATACTTTTCATCTTCTCGTTCTCCCGCTGCAGCTCAGCCACATCCTTTGCCATTCGCTCCCTCCCATAGATATCCACCTTATGCCAGAAAGTGGCATTAAAATAGCGATAGAGTTTGGCGTCGATGAGGTTCCAAGAAGTAGCCTTTTCATAGAGCTCAGGTGTCAGCCTGGAGACAGTGGAGCCCTTCCGGGCATTGAGCTTGAAGTAGAGGATGTCTTCCAGCTCCCAGCACAGCAGGTCCTTCAGCAGCACCATGGACTCATCAAAGTACTCGAGCAACATGACAAGGTGGAAGCGCTGATCTATCTCTTGGAAGTACTGCTCCACGAGCGGGCTATTGGCGTTCATGTTGTTGTCGTAGCCCAAGTCAAAGAAAAGGAGGTTCTGGAGGTAGTGAGCGTTGAACCCATTAGGGTCATAGTAATGCCAGGGGTCCCGGAGGAATTCTGCCAGCTTGTCCTCCCCTGTCAGCTTCCAGGTGAGGGGGATGACTCGCCCGAAGTAGTGGAAAGAAGACTCGAAGAGGTAGGCAGGGTCCCGCAGTACCGTCAAGAAGACGGTGTCAGCCGGCAGGAGCTTGCGCACCTCGTCGTAGTGGAAGCGCATGTGGTTGCAGATGATGTTGAAGCACATACCTGGCTGGTAGTGCTGCACCTGGCTCCGCTCAAAGTAGGAGGGATAGTAGAAGTCATTGCGGCCGTTGGGGAAGGCGAATTTGAGGCGATGCTTCTCTCCGAAGCGGAAGAGGATGTTGAGGATGGTGCTGCTGGCTGTCTTGTGTGTCTTCATGAACATAATGTCCAGCTTGGGCAGGCAGCCTTGTCCTGGAGAGCCGCGTGTGCCATTTGCCTCTGCTGGCACCTTGGCCTGGGCTGGGTAGGAGGGGCAGGAATAGGGGATAGGGATCCTGGGGGAGAGAAAAGATAGGACACCCCAGTGAGGCTGGTTTGGTCCTCCCAGTCCAACCACCACAAAGACTGTGCAAATTTCTTTTCCAAAGGAGCTTGGCGCTCGGGAAGGGTGCTTGGCTCACAGCCCTGGGGAGGAGGCTGCTCTGCTGCTCTGCATGGCTCACAGTTGCAGAGCCAGCCCTGGCCACGCTTCCCCAGGGGCCCAGTGCTGACCAGCGCCAGCTATGCTGGGGAAGAGGCACCCAGCTTTTGGCAGAAACTGTCTTCTGTGGGGATGCACTGGAGTATCCTGCT